ATGACCAGGGTCATTTAACCAAATGACTGGGTCATTTAAATTTTGAGCAAATGACCAGGTCATTTACCATCCCTGCTAACGGTCATATTGTATCTCTAATAAAGGTCATGATAGTGAAATAAAATCGAATTACTTGTAATTTTTGCATCAAATGTACGTCAAACACGTGACGCATATATAAAATTGTCAACAAAATTAATAAACCCATCTCCCCACCTCAAAACCCATCTCTTTTTATATAGCAAAAGTTGCCTTATTGTTATATTCAGGAACATAATTCTTCTATTAAGCAGTTTTGAAAAGAATTAGAAATTTTTTAATTTGATAAAAATATTCTCAATCTAAATTCAAAGATGATTGAAGGCACAACTACGATATCAATTGAAAAATCATCTGGCATAAAGCTTGATCCGACAGAGGAACAAATTTTAAATGATCAGATTAGTTTCACTAAAAGAAAAAAAATTATATTACTTTATATCGATTCGCTACAAAACTTGACTTGATAATAATGTTTATTGGGTTGGTGTTTTCAGCGGTCGCAGGTATGTTCATCACAATACTTTTCTTTTTGCAATTTATATTTCAAACATTCTCAATGATATTTTATAAATTTGACAGGCTCGTAGAGCAATCTTTTTTGGAATAATGTCAGATTATTTTATCGGTTTTCAAATTCACGCGATAAACGCCAATGAGTTTTTCGAAGAATCAACCTATCTTTTCTTAATTTATGTATATTTCGCAATTTCCACATTTGTTGCTACGTATATATCCATGGCTACTTGGGCATATACTAGTGAAAGGTTGTTTATTCATATAGTATTTATATCAAGTTCGATTATTCAAAAGCATACTAATATCGACACGTGGTTTGCGTTACTTTCATAATCGCACGACAAATCCGTGAACAATATTTTCTTAGCTTATTTTGACAAATATGGCACAGGTGAAATTACTACTCGCATTTCTTCTGATATTTACATTTGGTACAAGATGGTATCAGTGAAAAAATTTCCCTCGCTTTTCTAGTAAGTTCATATATATATTGATTTTAATTAATTTTTATTTATTATTTATTTATTTATTTTATTTAATTATATTATTTAATTATTTATTTTTATTTACATTTACTATCATTTTTACATTTCTTACGCTCAGTATATTTCACATTTCATTGCATCACACATTACATTGTTGCATTTACTATAAGTTGGAAAATGATTCTCGTGGTCTTCATCATTATCCCTTTTCTTGCCATCTATAGTATTTTAATGAGTAAATTTAGTGCTATTTTACGAAAAGGAGTTTTGATTTCTATTCTCGTTCTGGAATTTTGCTGAAGCTATTTCAACCATTAGAGCTGCGGTGTCCTTTGGTGTTCAAAAGAAACTCACTGATCTTTATGATGCTTACTTAGGTGAAGCAAGAAAAGAAGGGGTTAAAAAATCTTTGTTGGTTGGTTTTACTCTTGGTTTAACGTTCTTTGACACCTATGCAATTCCTGTTTTGTGCTTCTGGTATGGTTCTACAATGGTTATTAATAATGAATTATTCTTCGGACAAACGTGTTTCTGTTTTTCTTCTCCAGATATTAATTGATTTAAAATCTCTAATTAATTTTCTTTCTTTTTGAAGGTTGTTAATGTATTCAATTTTATTGGAAATGGCTTTTCAGTCTTATAAAATTTTTTGACTACTTTTGAGCTATTAACCTTGCTACTGGTGCTAGTTCGAAATTATTTGAACTATTGATCGTGTTCCCTCAATTGACATTACTTCTGATATTGGTGATAAGCCTGAAATTGTTGTGGGTTATATTCAACTTAAAAATATAAATTTCATTTATCCGACTCGTCCTGATATTAAAACTTTAAATAATTTATCATTGGATATTGAACCTGGTTCTACTGTTGCTTTTGGTTCTTAGGTTCTGGTAAAAGTACGATTGCATCTCTCATATTTCGTTTCTATGATTCTCTCTCTGGTGGTGTATTTCTTGATGAAAGTAATATCAAATCTCTTAATTTAACTTGTCTTAGAAGACAAATAGGTTTTGTAAGTCATGAGCCTGTACTTTTTAAAACTACTATAGCTGAAAATGTATCTTATGGATTGATTGGTTCTATTTATGAAAATTTATCTGATAGCGAAAAACGTGAAAGGATTGAAAATGCTTGTAAGATGGCTAATGTACATTATTTTATTATGAATTTCCCTGATAAATATGAAACTATAGTTGGTGAACGTGGAATCTTATTATCTAGCGGGCAAAAGCAATGTATTGCAATTGCTCGTGCTATTATTAAAGACCTAAAGTAGTGCTCGGCACAATCAAACAAAAATTTGACAGTCAAATACTTGTTAATACTTATGTTTAAATCGGATGTCAAA